TAATATTGTAAGACTTCATATGAAGTCAGGTTTGTGAGATGAACAGAATAATGTTTTTTTACATGATAATCTTCACATCCACCGAAGCGCTGAAATCTCATTCGCGTTCATATTCAACAGACATGCCAGTGCTTCAGGTTTGACATTTTGTGTCTAGTTTGAATGGAATGAGATAAATATCGACTGAATGATTCTGGTATGTAGATTTGAAAAATAGTGCACAAGTCATGGATTACTTTTGTGGTCTTGTATGGTGTTTTTGTCAAACAAAATAGTATGCAGGTTTGGAACAACATGAGCTTTATTCAATCTTGGCTCAGTTTCTATTAAATCACTTTTGTCAGACAAAACAGGCTTTAATTAATTCCAATGTGACTGAATTACTTCCAAAATCTTAGTCTCATTGTGTCTTCAACAAATGACAAAATCATTTGAGGTAATTAAAGATTAGAGCAACATAATTATCAGGTCACTATCAGGCATCTGACTTTATACTACACACGTCTTAATGACTGGCATGAATAGCACTTATATTAGTGATTGTTGTTGATATATTGCCAATATATGCAAGCAGATACTGCATTTAATGTAATGGCAAATGAGACTTCAAAAACATTACTGAAATTGAACGGATGCTTATTTACAAAGTATTTACACAAAATTTACAGTTCACATGAAAACAGAAAATGTACATCCACTGATAAAGTGTCTTTGTACTCTGTTTGGAATATACAGGCATGTACATCTAGCATCATATCTGCGATTTTGAGGCTAAATATCGGCTGATTAATCGGCATGGCTGATATATCATCAATCAATGATTCATAATTAAGCAATATCACAATCACAATAAACTCAATAAACATAAGTTAATACTCAGTTAAACTTACATTTCAGACAAAATATTTGCAGTTACATAACAAAAACAGCTCCAAAAATCCAAAAAGCATCAATAATAATGTGCATCATATAGTAGCTTCACCCCTAAATGAGTCAGTGTTTTTGAGTGAACTGGCTAGAGTGAAAGATTCAAATGACTCATTCATATTGGCTACTGAATGAATCAGTGACTTTGAAAGAATCAGCAGTAGGGATGTAACGATTCACTCAACTCACGATTCGATTTGATTCACGGTTTTGATTTCACGATTCGATTCGATTCACGATTTTTGATTTTTTTTTTTACAAAATGAGATTTAAGACAAATTATAAATTAAATGTGTCCTTTTATTATTGCCAGAGTAAATGTTTCAATGACTCGCTCATAAAGTACACATTCCTGAATAAATCAGTGTACATCAAATCTTTTTTGAAAGATTTAAATGACTCACTCATACAGACACTACTGGTGCAAAAATGTAACCAGCAGAAAAACTGCTGTAAAATACTGCTTTAATATTCACAACACAATATCTAGTGACTACTCTTAAAGTAAATTTAAAGTGGTTAATTAAGTATTATTGTTATTATAAATATGAATTGTCTAGGTTACAATCAAATCAAGTAGAAAAATTCATGCATGAACATACAGTGTAGTATGGTTTTAGACATGTGCCGTTATTCGGTAATGCGATATTTCACGATAATGAATATGCACGATATTGTTATCGTGGGCACTTGAAAATACGTGAATAATTATTTATTACAAATTATTCAGATTTTTTAATGCGTTTTAAGAATATTTTTCCCATCAACTGGTCACACAATGCACAACACCGCTGTATGCTGTGTGAAAAACGCATGTGCACTCGTGCTGATGTAAACAAGCTCGGATGAGAAGGGCATGGCGGAGCACGTGAGAGACGCTCTGTATTAACAGTTGTATTTTTTTTAACAAAGATTAGTTATTTGTGTGTTATTTATTGGTCTTTATAATTCTTTTGCACTTTAATCCGTGTGAATTTTTTGTTAAACATATTTTGTGTATTACTTTACTGTAGCTATATAAATTTTCAGTTCTTTTTGTTATAAGAAAAGTTATTAAACCTGTCATATTTTGACAACACTTTTTTGCAACTAAATTTCAATACTGTGATAATACCGTATACTATGATAAAAGCATTAGCAATTAATCGCAACATGAAAATTTGATACCGTCATATGCCTACATGGTTTTCATTTCAGGGTGGGGTCATTATGTCAAAATATGAATGCATTAAGGCAATCATATCTATGATTTTGAGGCTAAATATTGGCTGATATATCATCAATCAATGACTCACAATCACTCTCAATAACAAGAAGTTGATACTCAGTAACTTACATTTTAGACACAATATTGCCAGTCGTTTAAAAAACAGCTCTAAACAAAGCCAAAGCAAAATCAACAATAACGTGGATCACATACAGTCGTAGCTTCGCCCCTAAATGAATCAATGTTTTTGAGTGAATTGGCTGGAGTGAATGATTCAATCATTCTCATTCATAAAGGCAGCTGAACAAATCAGTGACTTTGAAAGAATCAGCTGAGTAAATGATTCAATGACTCGCTCATAAAGTACACGTTCCTGAATAAATCAGTGTATATCACTCATACAGATGTCACTTGTCGCCACCTACTGGTGTAACAATGTAACCGGCAGAAAAACTGATATAAAATATAGCTATAATATTCTCAACGCTAATGTCTAGTGACTTGCTTTCAGAAATTCAGACTTGTTTAGTAAGTGTTATTAATAAAACCAATATGAATTAGAAATAAATGTCTAGGTTAAGATTGAATAAAGAACAGAAATCCATGCATGAACACATGCTTGTCATTTCATGCATGCCTACTTCCTGTATATTAATAAACGACTAGTAGGTGAAACAGGAGTTTTGATGATAGGATTCAGAGCCTATACGATGGTGTTCCTGTTTCACAGGAAATGCTGTATTAAGTCCTCAGCAACAGACTGAACCGAGGTTTCTGTGGGTCTTAAAAAAGTCTTAAATTTAGTTGTATCAAATTTAAGGCCTTAAAAAGTCTTAAATTGTACAAGAAAGTCTTAATTATGATTTCAAGAGGTCTTAAATTTGGGGACGGAAAGACCAGAATTGCGATATGGCTGAATGTGACGATTAAACTTCAAAAGGCTATGATTTCATTACATAAACATGAGCGCTGCACAGTCCAGTTCTGGCAGCTTTGTGTACTGCTGTTACCGGGGAAACGACGTGTTTAAATCTGGGTTTCCGTGGGTCTTAAAAAAAGTCTTAAAAAGTCTTAAATTTAGTTGTATCAAATTTAAGGCCTTAAAAAGTCTTAAATTGTACAAGAAAGTCTTAATTATGATTTAAAGAGGTCTTAAATTTGGGGACGGAAAGACCAGAATTGCGATATGGCTGAATGTGACGATTAAACTTCAAAAGGCTATGATTTCATTGAATAAACATGAGCGCTGCACGTTCAAAGTCCGGTGCTGCGCTGCTCTGTGTTCTGCCGTTACCGGGGAACCAGTTATATTTCTATTATGAGTTCAGACAAATGCAAAAATCGACCCATGTTTTTACCCTGCAAACACACAGAGCTTTAAATGTGAACTGGTGGATCGATAAGAAGACAATGCATTATAAAAATCTAATAGGGGTGTGCGATATGCATGGTCTGCGATAATATTGTAATTGTTGTTTTAATGATGTGCGATTTGATATTATCGAGTAAATCGCGAAAAGCAAACAAAACACCTACAGAGTGCACGCATACATTATTAGATGTTGAAGCCTAGCGGGTTAGACTAGTGCGCGTGCGCATTTTCACTGCATGAATCAGTCTATTAAAATGCATTTAGAATTACATAATTGAAGATATGAGGCAGAAAATTTATATATTTATATAATTTCATATAGTTAATATCATACGAAAAGTGCCGTTTTTTTTCTCCAAAAGTCAGCATGATTACAAATGTGATATTGATTTTATACAACAGTGTTCTCCAAAAAAAAAAATCAAAAATCAGCCACAGCGCTGTTTTGCGTCTCTGAACAACATGACGGTGTTTCGTTCCTGAATGAATCAACCATTAAAATGATTCGGTTCAATCGCAATGACTCACTTAACAGTGACTTGCTGCCACCTACTGGCAGTTTTAATTTAACATTTAAGGTATCTTTAAATTTTTTTTTAATATAA